AAAAGTTGGCGAAAGCGGAGCGAAGAGGAGGGACATACCCATCATGGCAGCTCCTTCCCGTAACCATAAGTAACATGGTTTTCAGTTATTGTTGATGCATTGTTATTTAATAAAGACATGTCTTCTTGTGTTCACATCTCCACAGTTTACTCTTATCACGACTTTATCGTTCAGTATGTAATTTAAACGCCCTAGGACCATTTCATTTTACCTCTAGCACACGGCGAGCTCATGAGGAAACTACATATGCGGGGAAAAATATGTGGAATACAAATAAAGTATTTGTAGCTGTTTACGGTAAGAACAGTGTCCGAGCAAGTGCACTCATGACTGAAATCAATGTTTTATTCTCACGTCATTTCAGGGGATCAGGGTGGGGGAATTTTTCCTTGCTACAGTAGCAGATGGAGCAATCTACAGTGCATTTATCGAAGGGTGTCACCGTTGATGTGCGTTCATGAAGAAACTTTTTGAATGCAAATACCCCACACGGTTGCTTTTGGAATGCGTTTAAACATCACCAATATCCGCCGACTGAGTGCACATCACATGGCCTTAAGAGCGACAGGCACATCATTCCTTATTTCACAAAATCAGTGGTTATATCGAGCAAATTATTATCCGCTCGTTCCCCGAGCAATATGAAGACATTACAATGAGCTTCAGTGAAGATTACTCGCTAGTGCCGTTCTTGGAACTGTGATGAGTGGAATCTACTGTAGTTTCGTGGCTCTGTAGTAACACTGCAAAACGGCAAACGTTTTTGAAAGCTGGACTTAATCCACTAATTTTATGACAGAATTTAATATTAGCGAGGGATCCAGTAAAGAAAATCCGATTTTCCTGAGCTCCATTAGTTCATTTTTTTAAAAAAATCCATTGCTCATCGTTTCCAATCGGATACGAGCTCGTGAAAATCCCCAGAACCAAGGCTGTGCATTTACAAGTTAAAATTCACGAATTAAAAAATAAACCATGGAAGTGCAATCAAGACATAACACGTTTCTTGAGCAAACATTGATCAACAAGGACTGATAGCTATATTAATTCTTCTCTTCGATACCATGATAACTTGCGGTGATTCCACAAAGATGTCTTTTTCTTACGTGAGTTAAGTTCGAAGTTCCTCAAAATTAACATTTGCAGAGGAACTTGTTAGCAAACGAGAGACCTCAAATCTGCGAGTCCCATTTCATGTATATCACAAGGGTCAACGTGGGTCAGCCAACTTATTGAAGAATTCCGAACCGACTAAAGTGAATGGTGGAAAAATAACTTGAAGTTATAGTGCAAGGGAAAGCATCCTTGTAAAGAATGTAATTCATCTATTCACGAAGCTGCTAACGGTCTTGTGTTGCCTTATTGTCTTCGATGGCGAGCTCTCGTCTCTCCAAGTGGACGTACATCTCTTTGGGACTGAACTACGACAAACCCAAGAGTACGGCAAATTCCTTATCATCATGAACCACATGGAATTAAGGTTAACAAGTTGGAAGTAGGGTTCAATTTAGGTTAAATGGTCGGAAGTACGGCTATCCGAAAATTAGCGAAGTTTAGTGCACCTGCTGAGTCTCAGTGGCCGCATGATTGATAGAACGGCTTCCGTCTAATTGAGGCACACTTTCGAATTGATGGAGATCTCCCACTGATTCTCATAATAAATAGTCTATTTTTTTTTTGGGAAAATGCCCAGCAATCCGGTTACGTACCAAGACTCCATTGTCAGCACTGCTTGAAAATTTAGAAGAGAAATTCCATAAAATGAACACCGGCAAAGACACATTAGAGTTGCGAATTCGCGAGGATACCACTCTCGTGGGCGTGTGTTGCACAGTGGTCGGAGGCGCCCTGCAACACGCACGTGGAATCGATCCCCGCGCCCATGGCCCATCAAGCCTTCCATCCCTCCGTGGTCGGCACACTGGTACCACACTTGCCCGAGAGGGTAGCAGTACTGCTCGATACATCAGTAAGCCGCCGCGAGTCATTGTAAAGGCCAGATATGCATTCAATCACCTCCAAACGATGCTTACCGAACTCCAATGCATGGCGCATCCCTACGGGATTGATCAACGCCGAGAGCTCTATCCTTCTAATTTTTTCTATAGCAGTTCTCGCTTATCAATGATTACTCAGCAAGTGTGCTGTGCCGTAAATTCATCTCCATGGTTTCTTTCTAATTTATAAAGTGACGCCTAATAAATCTATTACAATGTTGCCTAAAATCTTCGTGAGTTTATATAATGGCGAGGAAATGAGTGATAGGTTTTTGAAGGAGTGGTTTCCAGACCTCCTAGCAACCGAAATTCCTTTAATGAAGACCTCATAAATGACTACTTTCATTATAAAATTCATTGGACTAGGGCAACTTTTAAAAAATATCCACCATGACACAATTTAGCTATGTAATAGGACTTTGAAGAATGCGCTCAACATAGCTCCTAGAGAAGCAACATACGTTCTCTCAGAAAAACTGGTTTCCCAAAGAAGACAAGCCAGTTGATCCCAGGGATGAAGTCTCACCACAATGATGCTAAGGTATTTGCAAAACTCTGGACTGCAGATGTCAGCATTGGAGGTCGAATTCGCTATTACCCTTTCCAAGACTAATGTGTTCACCACCACACCATACCAGTCCTTAGCTTATGAAGTCGTCATAAAGTCAACCGTGCTCTTCTTCGGCCTAGGCCACTGCTCGAGCCAACAAAATAGAGATTAAGTGTCACGACAATTGCACACATTCCGATTGTGTAGCACATCGATGTCCTGAATATACGCTCAACCAATACCATTGAAAGATTTGGACCACGAAACGTTTATATATCTATTGTTTTTACTTTGATATAAAGCTGTTCTTAAGCTAAGTTAAAATATGTCTGAAATACCGCTTGGAATCGACCAGCACTTCTGCATTGACCAAAGGATTCGGAGAAGCAATAAATTTTTATTTCTTAACAAAATTAAACGCTTAATTTACTAAGAAAACAACTTTACGCTATAACATCACAGGAACAAACAAAAAATATACAAAACTCGCAACTTTAGAGACGAGTTCGTCAAATTTAAAAACAGATTTGTCATTAGCAACAGAAACTTAAAACTCAAATCCGACCTACAGATGTTTCGTTAGTGGTATTTCTAGACATTGTTCTCTAGCGACAAAATTTCTAAAGGAAAAGAGTCACGAATCGTGTTGGCTGAATGAAACGAGGAAGAGAACACAAACAAAAGAATACAGCAAATTTGAGAGCGTTTATGAAAGAAAAAGCTGAATACGATAACATATCTGATGAGCATACGACGACAAATTGGTAAGCATAGACATTAAAACGGTAGTAATCAGCAGACGACAGAACCAATTTTAAACAACAGTGCGCACTTCGAAAAATCGTTTGAGGTACCATATTTGTCCAACCGTCATGGATACAAGCACTAGCGCTTCGAACACTGCCCACAGAACGACACGACTGTTAGTGTTTTCGTTAACTGTAAACGAAATCGTCGACGATCAAGATTGGCAACTTAAATGTTGAACACCTCTACAAATCACGATTAAGGAAGACAACAACTATGTAGAGGACATGGATAGAGCAATCGCTTAATATCATAGTAATGTAGAAACATATTCCCCTTCCCGATTCCAAGAAACTATTTCCCACTATGACCTTAATCCATACAGAATACCTTACCAATTTTACGAAGTATTTCAAGAAACGACTTTAACAAAGAATAAATTAAAGATGTGAAAGAAAAAGAAGAAGAAGAAACAAGCAACATATACAGGACTAAGAAAAAACTCACTTGATCGGTGAACTCGTTCTCTAACCTCCATATATTCCTGTTCATGCTTCACGGACATAAGCGCAGTAGAAAGCTCCCGCACCATTTCCTCCAGTTTTTGATTATCTGCTTTAAGAATATAACTTGCTACACACCATTTATCCATTCATTACTTGACAACCTTTTAAATGATATTAGGTAATAGACCGATTGTTCATGACTTCAACATATTTTCACACAGCTGTCTGCATGCTACAACAGGAGCTATGAGACCTACAGTATGATTTCAGTAATCGATTTTTTCATTCTGAACACTACATCGAATGAAAATTTGAAGCCTTTCAACGATACTTACCAGCATCCTGATTCTCCGCTGCACCTTGCTGTTGCTCATGTGGCTCTATGATTTCTATAGTGAACATAACAGCCTAAATTATCACATAAGACATAATATAAGAGAAAAATTCCTGGAAACAAAAATATGTAATCCCAGTTGTAAACTTTAGGACTTAAACATACTTTAGGGGTCATGGTGCTCATTTGATTTCCAAAGCAATAAGTATACACACCGTCCATGTGGGCAGCGAACGTGTACTTCCCAGAAGACTCTCGCTCTCCTTTGTAAATAATCTTATTATCCGGCCCAGTGATCTAAACTTCAAAAACTTCAAAAATAAAGTTATCAAAGAACCCAGCCTATCGATGTATCAAGCCACTGCTGCTATCCTCCCAGACACGTGTGGTACCAATATGCAGACCCCAGAGGGGTGGAGGGCTCAGTGGGCCGGGGACGCAGGAACAGATCCCATATGTATTGCAGGACGCCTCCGACTACTCCGGTACACGTGGAAGCAGAATAACAGTTTTAATGACGAAAACTTTTGTTTCCCACTTCGCTTTCATTTTTGGTTAACATTCACATTTTAAGGGTATTTATTCAGCGTTTTCAAAATAGTTTGCCGTCTCGTCGTAGCTTGGAGGTGTTCCTGCATGCCGTGCTGCGATGTACAACTGGAAGATTCATTACCTCAGCAGGGTCTCCTAAGGTGAGGAGTCCGGCGTTTCCATCAGCAAATCAAACTAAGAGCAAACCAATACCAAGGTCCACCACCGCCCCGGTATTAAACTAGTCGCATGGTGGCAAATGTTCCTCTGATCCACAAGGGAGGCGACAGCCTCTAGTGGTAATGACTTGGGATAGACCTCGGCAAGGCTGACCTCGGGACTCCAGAGAACCACAATGGCTGAAGCAGTCACACTCACAGTCAAACAAAAAATGGAAATTTTGCTAGGACCTGCACAACCGGTGAAGACAGGCCATCCAAGTATCCAAGTAGTTACTCACCATACAGAGAGGTGATAACTCTATCCGACGACTTTCGTTAACTTTTAAGACATTCAACAGACTCCTTCATGACATTGCAACACATCGAATATAACTAACGACTTAACTCATTTTGTCTATAACCTGTACAAGATCCAGGTTTGTAAATCTGTCACAAAGTTAAGGAAATAATAAATTAATGCACAACTTTCATTCAACATTGATTTGGAAGGCTCGGGCAAGCGAAGGGCAAAATTCGAAGGAATAGAAGCTCCAACATGTCAACTCCACAAGAACACAGTAAGATAATGATTCTTAAGCGACCACTTACTTTCACATCGATATCAAGAAAGCCACCTTCCGCCACCTCAAACATGAGTCCAATTTTGGTTCCAGAAATCACGCGATCGAAAAAGCACTGCTCCTCGTTGGCATCAATGTTGATGAAGTACGGAGACGCTGTTGATGTCAGAAACAACAACAGCGCTACGAAGCACCACATTTGTACCCTGGAAAAGTTCTAACAAATACCGTGTAAGGACAAAAATTGAGAATCAAACGACGTTGAAATGGAACTGGTAAAGCAGCTATACCTGATATCGACAGAATCTAAGCATTGAGTCCTTAAAGTAAACTGGAATAAAAGAAACACACCGCTCCCCGAGGAAAAACAACAAATTTAAAATGTTTTGGTGCCATATGGAGGTAATGAAAAAGATGAAGCAAGAAGGAGATAAATAATTAGATCGAGAATTGATCGAAATTGGTTTACGTGTATCCCAACCGTATTTTCATTCACACTAGAGCGCAATATCTATTCGGTCCTTTAAAATACACGTGTTCTGGTGTGCGCTATTACATGGCTACATAGCAGCAAGCATGTGAATGTTAGTGGACTGAGTATTACTGAGTACAGGACGTCATGATATTCTTTAGAGTTCGTTTGATTCGGTGGAAACAACTCTGTGCTTTTTTGAGCTCAGATCGCTTCCACGGTCGACAAAAGACGGCGATCGCATAGGATGAAAAAGATGAAGAAAAGAAGGAGACGCCTTAGCATGGCTGTGATTCCAGGGTGAATCGTACTAACCAGTATTGAACGAAATACCGTAAAAAAACCAACACGAAAATCTTCAAGCAGAAGTCAACCCAGCACGCAAGAGTGGGAAGACCTTCGCGAAATGTAGGTAGAACGAATCCAATCGAAATCAAAAAGTGCTGAAGTTCGCAAAACACGTGATATAGCCTCCTGTAAAGTAGCAAAAAAGGAGTGTTGACGCATAGTATTTCATCACACTCGCTGTGAACTGTTGTCAACTCATGCCGGCCAATTTTCAATACTCTTGAACGAATGATCCCGCCTTCTATTTTTCTTATTTTCGCTCTAATTCAGTTTTTATACGTATTCTTAAAATATTGAATACATTGGACAGTAATATGGGATTGGCTTCGTATGCTCCATTCATCCTCAGCGGAATGATTATCTCCGAATGCTCCAGTTATGTCCATCTAGGTCGGAAAATCAACATGTTCAACGACTTAGCTCCAGAGTTGAGTTGAAGGAAACTCGCGGCTTGGGGAGTTTTCTAGAGTATCGAGGATGCAGTGAAGAGGACAAAGAACACCCGACTCCGTGCCCACCTTTTCGACTCAACAGTACAACCTGCCCTAAAGTATGCGATAGAAACCCGGTCGCTGCGTAAGCAGGATGAAAAATCACTCTGCGTGTTGGGACGGTTCGCTGTCAAATGAATACGAAGTAACTCCCACGACCGACTTTCTATTAACCTCGGCATTGATCAAGTAATTCTTCGTATTTTTGTTGAGCAAACGCGA